TTACAGGTTAATCTAAGCCCCAACTTAATGAAGATCTGTTACCATAACGCAAGCCTATTTTTCAAACTTTCGTCGTCCGTGGGATTTGAACCCTAGACCTGCTACTTGGAGAGAGTGACGACTTGACCACTTCACTAAGCTGCCACATCTCTACTAACCCTGTTTTTATTAGTTATGCCGAAGACTTATGTTTATAAAATTAATGTATACATTTTGTCCCTCCAATATACTTAAAAAACTATCTCTTCTATTATTCATATTTGTTGCAATTGTTATATGCGATAGATGTGGATCGTATTTCTAAATTGGTAGACAATCATCGTATCTAAAAGGCTCGGTACGTTTAATTTTGAGTTATGTTTCTGGTCTTACTATATAGTTGCCCGACTAGCGCTATAAACCAAACCCGAATGGGACAGTTTGTGATTTCTACCTAATTTGGGTTCGGGAGTTGACACTTTTCAAAATTCCAAACCCCAGACCTGTGCCCATTTATTTTTGCATATCCCAAACCTCAAGAATGGTTTACATCACTAGCCCTGACCAATTTGTCTATAGCATAGTGGTCTTTAAATCCGATTGGTCAATTACTGAAATGTATCATCACATATACACTGCATATATCATCTGACTTTAACCAAATTGTTTGCCATGAAAAGGAATTGTACGAATACATATTCAGAAAACTACACCTTTCACTCTATATACTGTCAAAATAATCACGAAAACAGAGAAATAATCATAAGGGTTAGCAATAGAATGTTTTTTTTAATTCAGTTATTACTTATACTATATAAGAATCTAAAACAAAGAAGTAGTTTTTTTATTTTTATTTTTGTAGTTAGATCTCTAGTAAGCGAGCTTGTTTTCAAGATTGATACTTGTTTAGATTATATTTATTAGACGAAGCCTGTAGATTATAATATTGATGAAAGTCGAAACTGGGTTTAGCTTTTGTAATTTTAATTCCAATAAGTAGAACTAAAAAAATTTGTCTAACTATAGAAAAATAGGCTTGAGTTTAGTATATTATTACTTGCGATTTTACTATTTCTTTTAATTTATTTACAGTAGATTAATTTAATTATTTTTGTTATTCTTTATTGTTAGCAATTTAGTTTTGATATAAGCTCTTTATAAACGTATTAAAATTTAAAATATCGATGTTTTTTTAAAAAATTTAATCGAATTATATATGATAATGGCTCTTAGACCAAAGTAATAAATTATTGGAATTATTAAAATATAAACAAATATATCTTTTATTCAATTAATACTGTTATATTTTATGAAATATTTTACTTTGGTTCGTTTTAGTATAAGTCTATTAGCCAATCAGATCTTTTAAAATCATGAAATGATCTATAAAAATTAGCCAATCAGAATGAAAGCCCGCTATGCTTTTGTTTATTGCTTTTATAAAAAATTTTATATATATAAAAAATTTTATATATATAAAAAAAACCTCCGGGCGGCCGGGTCTAAAAATTTTTTAAATGTTATGTAAACCAGTTTATTTTTTTTGTATCGCCTAATAATAATAATTAAATAATAATATTAATATTAATAATTTTCATATTATCAACTCTTTTTGATGATCACTTGAACAAAAATTTCCTACTAACAAAAAATGGAAAAATTTGTTAAAGAGTCGTGGTCTACTGGCGGTTTGTCTAGAGGTCAACCTACTACTACGGGGACTCCTCTACAAGGGATGTTTGGCATGCAAGCCAAGAGCATTATTATACAAGATAACTGGCAGGGTGCTCTTGTATAAAAAATCTTGGTGGCAAGCGGGTCAGAACCAGCGTAGTTAACGAAGCTTTTAGGTCATTACTTCAAAGAAGAATACTGAAGAAATAACAAATTATCTGTTGCTCTGAAGCCATACTCTTTTTTTTGTCTTAAGTGACTCCTCTATTACTTATTTTCGACTTCTTGCCTTTTTTCCAAAAATTTCGACAAAAGTGGAGATTTGGCTTACCCTCTCCAAAAGATCGGCATTGTTTACATCCAAATCTGGACAGACTCAGTATATTACAACCGATGTGTCTTGTTTATCAAAGAATACAGCATTACTCTATGTGACTTGGATAAGGTAGTAGGTGGTTCTCTATGCAACTCGAATTGGGTCTCAGGTTAAAAGAGATATCTGGATTTGTTTGGTAATTAGAAGGTATACATTAAGGCTCGGCTTTATAATTAAGATATGCAACAGTTGTAGTTGTTATATAATTTTTACTTTAACTTAACACAGGTTATAATAGTGTATTTCCTTGTTCATAACAACTTTTGGGTTGCTTGGCTGCTTCTTGATAGAGGTAGCACCCCACCTTGTTGGCTTTCAGGGCTTTTCTTTTTGTTTTTCTTTTTACATATTCCTTTTTTCTTTTTTTTTTTAAACCGATTTCACGGATGCTAACGCTTTATTGTGTTTTTATATGTTTATTTACAAACATTTTTGGTACATTGATAAGCGTACAACTAGCCACACATACAACTTTTGGTTGCCTATTTAAGTAGTCCGCCCGAAGGTTCTACACTAGCTGCCATATCTGCAACCTGCTAGGAGATTGCCTATTTAAACCCTCTGATCTTCTGTACCCACTCCGCAATTAGTCCTATAAGTTTCCATACACCAAGGTGCCGTCTAACTCGACATTTGGTTTCCCTTTCTGTGCTAGGAACCCAGGCCGTACCTAATTTAATGAGTACTGTCACCCAGTAGCAAGGCTCAGAGTGCCCTCTGTCAACAACCTACCCACTCTATGGTCTTATCAACAGGGCTATACCCTTGCAAAGTTCACCCAAACCCGGTACCCACTTCACAGCATATCCCCAGTACTTTAGTTCCCTCCGCTTTAGTTCTAGACTACCAATCCAGATGGCCCGGAAGGACTGTGACCTGTTCTTGGTTCATCAGCTCTGCCATGACCTTTTCCTCTGGTTAACCCGGTGGCCTGGTTGGTGAATCGGCTTTACTACAAACCGATCGTGCCCTGTCTGGTTCTTCCACTTCGGTTTTCTTTTCCCGGGTCTAGCCTTTACAGTAGTACTGTCGAAGATTTGTACTACCTTTTCACTCAGGTCTTCCCAAATGGGCTCCTGTCCTTCTAGTCCTACGGATTTACGTGACCTAGAGACTTATCGAGTGTTTGCACGCCCATTACCAGTTTGCATTCCTCCATGTAACCCAAGGTTGCACAGATGCCCCAGACCTGCTAGTCATGCTAGTGCGACCGTAGTTACAGATATCCTATCCCAACTGATCGACAGAGGATAGTTGCCGTAACACAGGTAATTATTCGAATTTTCACCGTTGATAGGTTTCAAACTCTTGACCTGCCACTTGGTGAGGGTGACAACCTAACCACTACACTAGATCACCACACCTCTTATTATTTTCTTTTAAAAATTTTCTTTTCGTTTATTTTGTTTTTAGTAAATATAGTTCTTTTTTGTTTTAATAATTGGTGGTTTTGTAGTTTGGTATAAATCACTGCTTTCTTTTGCTTTTGGTAAAAAAAAGAAGAATTGAAGGGATTAGTTTTGACGGGCTGACAAGGTCTATCCAACTTGTATACAAGATGGTGTAACAAGTCGCTAATAGGCATGTTATATGTAGCCGGTAGATATCAAGCTTGCAATTTAGACTTTAGTTTTTAGTTATAATAGTTTACTGTTATTGATTAAATATACATAAATAAAGTTGTATTCGAGCTTTAACAAGACCGTCAAAGAATTAAAATAATAATAATAATAATAATAATAATAATTTTAAAAAAAATAATTATCGCAGTTTTTGAAATGGTTGAAAATAAGTAAAAAAAAATTTTTTTTTACTCATTTCTACTATTTTAAAAACCACAATAAATAATAATAATAATAATAATAAAATTTAATACTAATAATTCTTTTATATATTATTATGTTTAAAACGTTAATTAACAGATAATTGTACTTTACTATACAACACTATCGTCCACATTGTTCAAAATATTTTGCATGTCTTTCTTCTTTGCAAAACTATATAAAAACGCATGATATCGATATTATTGAGGCAGCTTTACAGAAAATTAAAAATGAAAGAGAGAGAAATGCTATGCAGCATGATGAGAGCAATAAAGAACCAGAATTTCAATTATTGAGCGATGAAGAACCAGAATTTCAATTATTGAATGATGAAGAACCAGGATTTCAATTATTAAGTGATGAAGAACTAGAATTTCAATTATTAAGCAATGAAGAACCAGAATTTCAATTGTTAAGCAATGAAGAACCAGAATTTCAATTGTTGAACAATAAAGAACTAAAATTTCAATTATTGATTGATGAGGAGCAAGTGCTTCAAGAATTGAGTAACAAGGAACAAGAAGAACGACAAAAAAAAGCAATTATAGGCGTAGAAAAAATGGATTATGATAATGAAACTGATGTGGTTAGTATGTATAAAGTATTAGTTGCACTGCAGGTTTAAAAATATTTAGCCCTGCATAATCCTATATAATGTATATAATACTATAATATTTATATATATATATTTATTTATTTTAGGAAATTAACGAAACAGAAATCTCCAACATTGTAGAGCATTTATTACTTGATGTAGAACCAACAGTAATTTTTAGAATTTATGGAATTAATTATGAAATGAAAATTATTAGATACATGTACAAGTGAAATATTTAGATTTTCACAAAAGATATGTCGGGATGATATAATTTTGCCCACTTCAACCAAACAGGGCCGTCAACTGTTAGATAGAACAAAAATATCACATGTTTTTTTTAAAAAAACCTCTATAATAATATATAATGAAGAAACATATTACCTTCACTATCACTTAATATTTGATTGTATTAAGGACTTATTAAGTGATCAAGGTATATATGAACATTGTGTTTTTGAGTTTACCCCATTATATTATCAAGAGCAACAGATATTTTATGAACAATATAATGGGAAGTGGTGAAAGAGGGCAAAAAAAACAATTTCTAATAATGCAAACATTTTATCAATAATGCTATATACAGATACTACTATATACAACCAATTGGGAAAGTCAAGTAAACACCCAGTATATTTAACATTAGATAACATTTCTAGTTGGCGCAGAAACAAGCCCAATGCTAAAGTTCTTTTGGCCTACCTCCCAATTTTAAAAGCAAAGACAGTTACAGAGAAAAAGTTATCTAAATTTATAATAACAAAATGAACTTTGTATCAATATTTATTAGATATTTTATTAAAACTACTACTTGATTATATAGAAAATAGATTTGACCTTGAAACAAACAGTGATGATTTATAGTGCATCCATTTATCTCTATATTGTTGGGTAATCTTCCAAAAGATGCTGCATTGATATTGACATATAATTCAGTTAACTGTAAGTATCCATATCAGGTAACGAGTTAAATAAAGTAAAGTTAACTACTGATCAAATTATAATAAGAACCCCGAAGACAATGAAGAATTTTATAAATCAAAGACTTGGGCAACAATACTCTATGTATAACTTAAATAATTTTTTTTTTTTTTTTTTTTTTGGTATTAAAAGGTGAGGCCTTGCTCATATCTTTATTGAGTAATTTATATAAAGAAACAAAACTAAATGAAGACTTAATTCATATATAAATGAATAAATATAAACTACATGCAAGAATAAAAGCT